CTTCCTGTTGTGTCTGTCTCTTTAGTGTTACTTCCTGTTGTGTCTGTCTCTTTAGTGTTACTTCCTGTTGTGTGTGTCTCTTTAGTGTTACTTCCTGTTGTGTGTCTCTCTTTAGTGTTACTTCCTGTTGTGTGTCTCTCTTTAGTGTTACTTCCTGTTGTGTGTGTCTCTTTACTGTTACTTCCTGTTGTGTGTGTCTTTAGTATTACTTCCTGTTGTGTGTGTCTTTAGTGTTACTTCCTGTTGTGTGCGTGTCTTTAGTGTTACTTCCTGTTGTGTGTGTCTCTTTAGTGTTACTTCCTGTTGTGTGTCTCTTTAGTGTTACTTCCTGTTGTGTGTGTCTTTAGTGTTACTTCCTGTTGTGTGTGTCTCTTTAGTGTTACTTCCTGTTGTGTGTCTCTTTAGTGTTACTACCTGTTGTGTGTCTCTTTAGTGTTACTTCCTGTTGTGTGTGTCTTTAGTGTTACTTCCTGTTGTGTGTCTCTTTAGTGTTACTTCCTGTTGTGTGTCTCTTTAGTGTTACTTCCTGTTGTGTGTCTCTTTTGTCTTGTATTTTCCTTCATTACTTTTTGTGTTTTCACTGGATTTTACTTGTAACGTTTTTCATTGAATCATTTTTATTTTTTTTGCAGTTTTGTGTTTTTTCCTTTTGCCACCATGAACCTCGGACCATGTGAGAAGATTAGAGATAATAATAAAAAATAATCTTCATGGCACTTTTCAAAAAGACAAAGTGCTGCACAGACGACAAGAAATAAAAACAGTTATAATGAAAAAACTAATGTCAAGAAATACAGGAGAATTAGACAGACACAGCCTGTGTCTCTGGTCTCTCTCTGGTCTCTCTTTCTGGTCTCTCTCTCTGGTCTCTCTCTCTGGTCTCTCTCTCTAGTCTCTCTCTCTGTTCTCCCTCTGGTCTCTCTCTCTGGTCTCTCTCTGGTCTCTCTCTCTGGTCTCTCTCTGGTCTCTCTCTGGTCTCCCTCTGGTCTCTCTCTGGTCTCCCTCTGGTCTCTCTCTCTGGTCTCCCTCTGGTCTCTCTCTCTGGTCTCTCTCTCTGGTCTCCCTCTGGTCTCTCTCTGGTCTCTCTCTCTGGTCTCCCTCTGGTCTCTCTCTCTGGTCTCTCTCTCTGGTCTCCCTCTGGTCTCTCTCTGGTCTCCTCTCCCTGGTCTCTCTTTCTTGTCTCTCTCTCTGGTCTCCCTCTGGTCTCCCTCTGCTCTCTCCCTCTGGTCTCCCTCTGGTCTCTCTCTGGTCTCCCTCTGCTCTCCCTCTGCTCTCCCTCTGGTCTCTCCCTCTGGTCTCCCTCTGGTCTCTCTCTGGTCTCTGGTCTCTCTCTGCTCTCTCTCGGTATCCCTCATGGTCTCCCTCTGGTCTCTCTCTGGTCTCCCTCTGCTCTCTCCCTCTGGTCTCCCTCTGGTCTCTCTCTGGTCTCCCTCTGGTCTCTCTCTGGTCTCCCTCTGCTCTCCCTCTGGTCTCCCTCTGCTCTCCCTCTGGTCTCCCTCTGGTCTCCCTCTGGTCTCCCTCTGCTCTCCCTCTGGTCTCCCTCTGCTCTCTCTCATGGTCTCCCTCTGCTCTCTCCCTCTGGTCTCCCTCTGGTCTCCCTCTGGTCTCTCTCTGGTCTCCCTCTGGTCTCCCTCTGGTCTCCCTCTGCTCTCCCTCTGGTCTCCCTCTGGTCTCCCTCTGCTCTCCCTCTGGTCTCCCTCTGGTCTCCCTCTGGTCTCCCTCTGGTCTCTTTCGGCTCTCCCTCTGCTCTCTCTCTGGTCTCCCTCTGGTCTCTCCCTCTGGTCTCCCTCTGGTCTCTCTCTGGTCTCTCTCTGGTCTCCCTCTGCTCTCCCTCTGGTCTCTCTCTGGTTTCTCTCTGGTCTCTCTCTGGTCTCTCCCTCTGGTCTCTCTCTCTGGTCTCTCTCTGGTCTCCCTCTGGTCTCCCTCTGGTCTCCCTCTGGTCTCTCTCTCTGGTCTCTCTCTGGTCTCCCTCTGGTCTCCCTCTGCTCTCTCTCTGGTCTCCCTCTGGTCTCTCTCTGCTCTCCCTCTGGTCTCCCTCTGGTCTCCCTCTGGTCTCTTTCTGCTCTCCCTCTGGTCTCCCTCTGGTCTCTCTCTGGTCTCCCTCTGGTCTCTCTCTGGTCTCCCTCTGGTCTCCCTCTGGTCTCCCTCTGGTCTCCCTCTGGTCTCTTTCTGCTCTCCATGGTCTCCCTCTGGTCTCTCTCTGGTCTCCCTCTGGTCTCCCTCTGGTCTCCCTCTGGTCTCCCTCTGGTCTCTCTCTGGTCTCCCTCTGGTCTCTCTCTGGTCTCCCTCTGGTCTCCCTCTGGTCTCCGTCGCTGAGTGGATAAAGAGGAGAGAGAGAGCGCGCGCACGCATCTCTTTGGCTCCGCGCGTCTCTCTCAACACAACCACAGATAATTCAGACCCGGCTCCCAACACGACACAACACCTCCACCACGCTCCTCCTGGTCCTCCACCTGGTCCCCCACCTGGTCCGGGACAGGTCCAGACCACAGCCACCATGCGCTGAAGCGAGAGTTCGAGACCGAGGCTTCGAACCCAAACGAGACCAGTCCAGGACCCGCTCTGCCCATCCGCATCCACAGACATGAACACGAACGATGCCAAGGAGTACCTGGCGCGCAGGGAGATCCCACAGCTGTTCGAGGTAAGCGCGAGTTTTGGACTCTACCCTGCGAGATTGGACTCTACCCTGCGAGATTCTCTATCTTTAGTCTGCGGTTGTTTGTGAAGCGAGAAATGTGAAATACCAGGACAGACGGCGATGAGAGATCCGGAGCAGAATCTTGGACTGAGCTTTAACTCTGAGATTACAGTGAGACTGAGGCGTGTCTTCAAATCTACTTTTTGCTTGTATTGTTGATGCACTGTTTAATCACATGGTTTATCCACATGGTGTTAGAACCAGCAGAGAAGGACTAATGACGGGAGAGAGGGTTCTTTAAAACAAGAAATATGATAGATGGCTGGTCTCTCTGGTCTCGCTCTGGTCTCTCTCTCTGGTCTCTCTCTGGTCTCTCTCTTTGGTCACTCTCTGGTCTCTTTTTGGTCTCTCTTTGGTCTCTCTGGTCTCTCTCTTTGGTCTCTCTCTGGTCTCTCTCTTTGGTCTCTCTCTGGTCTCTCTCTCTGGTCTCTCTCTGGTCTCTCTCTTTGGTCACTCTCTGGTCTCTTTTTGGTCTCTCTTTGGTCTCTCTGGTCTCTCTCTTTGGTCTCTCTCTGGTCTCTCTCTTTGGTCTCTCTCTGGTCTCTCTCTCTGGTCTCTCTCTGGTCTCTCTCTCTGGTCTCTCTCTCTGGTCTCTCTCTGGTCTCTCTCTGGTCTCTTTTTGGTCTCTCTTTGGTCTCTCTGGTCTCTCTCTGGTCTCTCTCTGGTCTCTCTCTCTGGTCTCGCTCTCTGGTCTCTCTCTCTGGTCTCTCTCTCTGGTCTCTCTCTGGTCTCTCTCTGGTCTCTCTCTGGTCTCTTTTATCTCGTGCGTCGCAGATAAACGTGCGCGCGTCTCCGCCTGAGTCTCTGGGTCCAGTTCAGCTCCAGTGTGTTCTGTATCGCTCTGTGTCAGCAGCAGCAGCAGCTGTGTCTGAGCACTTTACAAAGTTGTTGATTTGTTAATAACAGATCAGAGAATCAAACAACTCTAAAACAGGAAATGCAGAGATAATAAACACGTGACTGTACCATTGGTCCATATGACCACTGACAATGTGCATGTCTCTCTGGTCTCTCTCTGGTCTCTTTCTGGGTCTCTCTCTGGTCTCTCTCTGGTCTCTCTCTGGGTCTCTCTCTGGTCTCTCTCTGGTCTCTCTCTGGTCTCTCTCTGGTGTCTCTCGGTCTCTCTCTGGTCTCTCTCTGGGTCTCTCTCTGGTCTCTCTCTGGTCTCTCTCTGGTCTCTCTCTGGTCTCTCTCTGGTCTCTCTGGTCTCTCTCTGGTCTCTCTCTGGTGTCTCTCTGGTCTCTCTCTGGTGTCTCTCTGGTCTCTCTCTGGCCTCTCTCTCTGGTCTCTCTCTGGTCTCTCTCTGGTCTCTCTCTGGCCTCTCTCTCTGGTCTCTCTCTGGTCTCTCTCTGGCCTCTCTCTCTGGTGTCTCTCGGTCTCTCTCTGGTCTCTCTCTGGGTCTCTCTCTGGTCTCTCTGGCCTCTCTCTCTGGGTCTCTCTCTGGTCTCTCTCTGGTCTCTCTCTGGTGTCTCTCGGCCTCTCTCTGGTCTCTCTCTGGTCTCTCTCTCTGGTCTCTTCTCTGGTCTCTCTCTGGTCTCTTTCTGGTCTTTCTCTGGTCTCTCTCTCTTCTCTGGTCTCTCTCTGGTACTCTCTCTGGTCTCTCTCTGTCTCTCTGGTGTCTCTCCCTGGTCTCTCTCTGGTCTCTCTCTGGTCTCTCTCTGGTCTCTCTCTGGTCTCTCTCTCTGGTCTCTCTCTGGTGTCTCTCTGGTCTCTCTCTGGTCTCTCTCTGGTCTCTCTCTGGCCTCTCTCTCTGGTCTCTCTCTGGTCTCTCTCTGGTCTCTCTCTGGCCTCTCTCTCTGGTCTCTCTCTGGTCTCTCTCTCTGGTCTCTCTCTGGTCTCTCTCTGGTCTCTCTCTGGTGTCTCTCTGGTCTCTCTCTGGTCTCTGTGGTCTCTCTCTGGTCTCTCTCTGGTCTCTCTCTCTGGTCTCTCTCTGGTCTCTCTCTGGTCTCTCTCTCTGGTCTCTCTCTCTGGTCTCTCTCTGGTCTCTCTCTGGTCTCTCTCTGGTCTCTCTCTGGTCTCTCTCTGGTCTCTCTCTGGTCTCTCTCTGGGTCTCTCTCTCTGGTCTCTCTCTGGTCTCTCTCTGGTCTCTCTCTGGTCTCTCTCTGGTCTCTCTCTGGTCTCTCTCTCTGGTCTCTCTCGGTCTCTCTCTGGTCTCTCTCTGGTCTCTCTCTCTGGTCTCTCTCTGGTCTCTCTCTCTGGTCTCTCTCTGGTCTCTCTCTGGTCTCTCTCTGGTCTCTCTCTGGTCTCTCTCTGGTCTCTCTCTGGTCTCTCTCTGGTCTCTCTCTGGTCTCTCTCTGGT